CATCTATATTCATGAGAGATGATAATCTGCACTTTTCCTGTAAGGAATTTGTCTGATTTTGGTGTTAGGGTAATGATGGTCTCATAGAAGGAGTTAGGAAGCATTTTCATTTCTTTTATCTTCTGAAAGGTATTGCAGAGAATTGGTACAATTTCTTTCTTAAATGTTTAGTAAAATTCACTAGTGATCCCATCTGGGTCAGAGCTTTCTGCTTTGGAAGGTTATTAAATATTAATTCAATTAATTTAATAATAGATACAGGTTTATTCAGATTGCCCTTTCCTTCTTGTGTGAGTTTTGGCAAATTGTGTCTTTCAAGGAGTTGGTCCATGGCTTCTAAGTTATCAAATTTGTGAGCATAGAGTTGCTAACAGTATTCGTTTATTATCCTTTTAATCTCCATGGATTTGCAGTGATCTCTCCTATTTTATTTCTGATATTAGTAATTTGCGTCTTCTTTTTTTCTTAGTTACTCTAGTTAGAGGTTTGTCAAATTTATTTATCTTTTCAAATAACCATATTTTGGTTTCATTGATTTTCTCTGTTTATTTCCTGTTTTCAATTTCTCATTTTTACTATTTCTTTTCTTTTGCTTATTTGGATTTAACTTGATCATTTTATAGTTTCATAGGATAAAAAGATAGTTAATTTTAGATCTATATTCTTTTTTAATATATGCATTCAATAAGATAAAATTCTCTGTCAGCATGGTATCCCATAATTTATAAGTTGTTCTTTATTTTCACTTATTTCAAAACATTTTGAAACTTCTCTTCGGATTTACTTATTTACCTATATTTACATAGAAGCCTTGTTTAATGTTCACATATTTTGAAATTTTCCACTTATCTTTCTTTTTCTATTTAATTACTTTTTTATTGAGGTAACCCGTTTATAACATTATATAATAAAACTTGATGTACATAACTGTATTTCAGTTTCTGTTTAGACTACATCAGTTCACTGTCAAAAGTCTCATTGCCATCCATCTCCATGATCTCTGTACTTCCTGTACTTGGATGTCTTTTCCTTCCTTAGTTTAGGGAAGTTTTTAGCTACTGTTTCTTCAGTTTCTCTACCCCTTTGTCTCTCTCTTCACCTTCTTGGACACCTATAATATGAATGTTAGTGTGCTTGATGTTTTCCCAGAGGTCCCTTAGACTGTCTTCATTCTTTTTAAATTGTTTTTTCTTTTATCTGTTCAGCTCGGGTGATTTCCTCTAGTCTTTCCTCCAGCTTGCTGATTCATGCTTCTGCATCATCTGCTCTGCTACTGAGTCCCTCTAGTGAATTTGTCATTTCCAGTATTGTATTCTTCATTTCTGAATGGGTCTTTTTTATATTTTCCAATTCTTTGTTGAAATTCTGTGTTCATCAAATCTCCCAAGACCAGTGAGCATGATTATGACTATTAATTTATACTCCCTGTCAGGTAGACTGTTTATCTCATTCTTTCATTCTTCTCATTCTTTTTCTGTGTTTTTGTCTTGTTCCTTTACTTGGAATGTGTTCAACTGTCTCCCCATTTTGCCTCCTTCTCTGTGCCTATATATATATATATTAGGTACATCAGCTATATCTCCTGATCTTGGAGAAGTGGCCTTATGTAAGAGATGACCTCTGAGGCCCAGCAATGTGCTTCCCTCTTGTCACCAGTTCCAAATGTTCGAGGAGTGTCCCTTCTGTGGGCTATGTGTGTCCTCCTGTTGTGGAAGGGTTGCTATCACTGCAAGTGCTCATAAAGTCGAGGCTGTCCCCCTAGTAAGCAGGTTGTAATGCTCAGCTGCATGAGGCTGCTATAGTCCCTTCAGTCACTTTATTGGGCATGAGGAGCCCCAGCACGGTTGGCCACAAGGTCTAATATCACACTCTTGTTGCGGTTTTTCTGTTATGTGAGTAGGCCTGGAGGGTGGTTGGTTGCCAGGCTCAGGGTCTTAGCATTGCTGTAGGTCTCTGGCATGCAAGCCTGTTTTCAGCTCTCTCGGGATTGAAGCTGAGTGGGGATCGCCCCAGGCATAGGAGCACCAAATTTTCCCCACTTACAGTTGATGCGATTCCAGGGACTGAATCAGAAAACAAGTTCCTCATTTGGGCAAGAGGAACTGGGAAAATGTTCTCTCATCCTCCAAATGCAGAAAGGCACCACTGTCCTGGGTAGGAAATGTGCTAGGCACAGGCCAGGGCTAGCTTGTTTTTGGTGAGGAAGGTTAGCTCTGAGCTAACATCTGCAGCCAATCCTCCTATTTTTGCTGAGGAAGACTGGCCCTGAGCTAACATGCATGCCCATCTTCTTCTACTTTATACATGGGACACCTGCCACAGCGTGGCTGGACAAGGGGTGTGTAGGTCCACACTCAGGATCTGTACCAGCGAACCTCAGGCAACCGAAGGGGACCATGGGAACTGAACCACTGTGCCACTGGGCTGGCCCCAAGCAAGTGCTACTTTTAAAGACACATCCGTTTCTGTGGCTGTTCTCCTGCCAGAGAAAGTCCTCCCAATGTCTCAGCCCCAGGAGATTGGAAGGGCCGCTTCTGCTCCAGGAACCGGTGAACCACACTGCAATGATCCTGTCCTCTGAGTGGGGACTGTCCTTCAGCAGCCAGGGACGGCACTGGCACTTCTCCCTTCACCACATACATTGAGCTGAGGACTCTGAGGTTTCTGAACTCAGGGAGGAATGTGAGATTCTGGATCTCATTTCCATGAGCACAGAGAGAGAAAGAACCACACCTCCACTCACAGGCTGAGAAAGAAACAGGGATTTAATAGAATATTCAAACATGGACAACAAAAATATGGCCCCTCCAAAGAGTGAAATAGGCACTGGGGGAAATGTGTGAGGGAGATGAGGGGGGTGGTCCACTCGCTTGTGGCCTTCAGGGGACCCCAGGAAATGGATCACAAAGTTTTCATTCATATCAGCATCTGAGAGGTGGCCCCATGCACCTGAGTGTCCCCGGTGTGTCCCTGCTGTAGTTCAGCTGGTCTCAGGAGCATCACCTGCCACCACCACTGGGCTCTTTTTTCGGGGCCTGGTGTCTGGATAGAAGGAGGCATTTCCTAGGGGGCCTCCCCCAGAATCACAGCATACCCTCCCCCATCCCTGCACCCACTGCACCCTGTGCCCCAGCCCTGGTGCTGAGTGCTCAGTCAGCCAACAGCACCCCATTTGTCCCTGACACAGGGGCTGATACTTAGTGTCACCCACTTCACAGAGGAACAAACCAGTCCCAGAAATGCGAGGGGAATCGCCCGTGACAGGACTGCTCAGCGGTGGAGCTAGGGCCCTAGCACCACAGCTGTCCAACTCCCCTGGCTCAGACTTGGCCTGAATCTGTACTGAACCCCTGGATTCAGCCACTGCCAGTCCAGACACTCACTCAGCCCTGGGCGGGAAGATGAGTGGCTTTTCTTGTCTTTGAAGAAGAGGCGAATCTTTCTGGTCCACTGGTATCGGGGCTCCAGCTGACAGGACAGGCTGTAGCTACAGGACAGAGTGGAGCTCTGGGCTCCCAGGAGCCACACCTCAGAGGTGCTTCCCAGCATCTGGAGTCCCATGTCCCCAGGGGTCGCCATGCAGCCAGATCTGAGGCTGACCATGGAGCCACGGCCATGGACAATGGAGGTGGTCTGCAGAGAGAGTCCGCCCTGCCCTCACCCAACTCCTGCCCCGCCTCACCTTGCCTCCTCGCTCAGGGGTTCCACGGCCTGGAACCAGGTCCCAAAGTGCTCGTCAGGCTGCACAGTGTACAGATTGCAGACTTCTGGACCACCTTGATGTCCTTGATGAGTTTGAATTCCTGGGACAGAGGAAGGACAGGATGGAGACATGGCCTGGGTGGGGGACCCTGAAGGGCTCTTGGAGGGGGTAAGGAGGGGGACAAGGAGCCAGTGTGGGGCCTTTGCCCACTTGGGAACCCTCCATCCCTGCAATTCCAGTCAGGATATGCCTGTTCTCACAGTTGGCCCAAAATAGATCCTCTACCAGGAAGGGGTCCTTGATGCCAGCCCTTCCCCCACCCACCAATGCCATAGGATCCCCAGCTCTGTATATCGAACTCTGCAAATAAATGTCAGATCCCAGGGATTGGGCTAGAGGGCTTCATGTGAAAGGGGGGCTCTCTGATTCCAACACACCCACCCTCACCACAGTGAGGCTGCAGCTCCTTACCTCATTCTGACAGCTGAGCACATTCTCCTGGAAGGCAGACAGCCAAAGTCCATCAGAAACAGCCCCCTTAGCCCAGAACTAGCCCCCATCCCACCTCTTCCAGTGTTGCACTGCTGCCAGTGGGCAGGCCCTTCCAGAGACCGGACTTGGACCTGGGCCAGGCTCTGGGCTCCAGACCTGGGGGCAGAGGAGCTGAGACCTTGTAATCCAACCCTCTCTGATGACACATGGGGAGACTGAGGCCTCAGGCAGGAAGGGACAACTCAGCCACTGATGGGCTTCCTGACTTGGAGGGAGCCGACTTCTCTTCCCCCATCGGCAGGGCCAGAGGGAGAGGCTGAGTCCAGCTCAGACACCACCTCCTGCAGCCACACAGCCAGGCAGCTCTGAGCCTCACCAGTACAGGGAGCCTGGATGGCAGCCTAGGCAGAGCCTCCCATCACTCGTTGCTGAGATAGGCCTGATGCCCTGGCTTCAACAGTAGGCTGGGAGGCTCTGCAGAGAGGACCCTTCCAAGTGTGAGAGCTCAGGGCTCATGGAAGGACTCTCTCCTCCCAAACCCTCAGGAGCCTGATCCCATGGCCCCACCTCCAGGCTTACTCAAATCCACATAATAATCCATCTCATTATCCAGCAGCTCCAGGTAACTGAAGATCATCTCGAGGGAGGGGACGACACCCTGCTCCATCAAAGTGGGGATGGTGATGAGCCTCAGCATTCAGGTGCCCCCATGAACCCTCCCCTGAAACCCCTCACCCCAGCCCCCTGCCCACCTCAGGCTCCCACATACAGCAGCCTAGGACCCTCAGGAGCCCCCACCACACACAATTCCCTTCTCACCTCCCCTCCAGGAACACCAAACTCCCCCAGTCACGTCCAAGGGCTGGCTCTTAGCCAATCCCATGGGATGTGGCCCCTGCCACTCCCCACCCCAAATCCATCCTGATCCCACCCCTTCCAGGCCTCCTCCTGCTCACTACCAATGCAAGCACTTCAGGCTCGGCAGCCACAGCAGATGCACTGGAGGAGGAAGGCCCATCTCCTGGGGGAGGCCTCCAGCTGGGAGGGGGAGACCCGTCTCCTCTGACTCCTGGGCCCTTCCCCCACAGGCACCCTCACCTGCTGCTGTCACCTCTCCCGGGCTCCATGGTGGGCCCTCTGTGCAGTGGCCAACACGGAGGTCACCTCCTGTCAGGGCCGAGGACAGGGTCAGAGAGGCCATGCTCCCCTCCACATGTCCCCCAAGGCCCCTGACCTCAGACACTGGCCATCTGGCTCCAGTCTCCCGCTGCCTATGCTGCTCCCGCCTCCAGGGTGCTCTGATTCTAGACTAGTCCAGGCTCCAGGACTCACTCCTGTGTGACTTTGGGCCTGCCCAGGCCTCCCTGAGCCTCTTTCATCATCAGGAAAGAGTGAGGAGAACTCCACTTGCCTCCAGCGCTCTCCTGAGGACTACGTGTCATCTGACTGTCATCACTGCTTTCCCCTCACATCTCGAGGAGGAGCCAGCACAAATCTCCTCCCATTCCTGTCCTCCCTTGGATGGTATCACCCCACCGTGAGGGCTGCAGCACGTCATCTCCCTCCATTTCCCAGAGGAGACGACCGAGGCCCACCTAGGGGCAGAGACTAGCTCAAGGACCCACTGATGAGAGGCCACTCTCCCTCCCACCAAAAGTCCCTGTCCCCGCTGCCCTCACCCCTTGCCCTGCCCCACCACTGACCAAGGTCTCGACCTCTGCACTCCCAGAGTGTGTCCCGACAACAGCCAAACTGAGACATGGAGGGAGAAGGCAGGGGGTGTTGCGGGGGCCATGTGGCAACTCCTTCCTGCCCCCCTGACAGGGGTCTCTGAACCCCAGGATGGCCTTACCATAGCCTCACTTCCTAGGATGTCCTCAGGATGTTCCCGGCCCCCTCGCGCACCCCTCCTCCCAGATCTCCAGCCCCAGGTTACCTTCAGGAACAGTCTCCTGCTCACGTGCTGCTCTCCCCTGCACCACTTCTTAAAGGTGTAGGATCTCTCCCTGGGGGAGTGGGGAAAGAAAGAAAGACTATGGGGTGGTTGAAGGGCAAATCCCGTTTGTTTGAGATCCCAGAAGATCCAAACAGCCTGGGGCTTGGATGAGGGATTTCACTGGGTTGCTCTGAGCCCTGAGGTCCCCATTGGACTGGGAAGGGGCCTCTCCTGTTGTCACCTGGGGCCTCCATTCCCATATCTACCACACAGATCTGTTTTGAACACTCTTGGTTTCAATTGGATGGAGATTTCTGTTGCTGCAAAGGAAACACCTGAGAATCTCCAACTGGGCTCAAGTCAGGATCTGATATTGAAGGAAATGAATTCCTGGGCAAAACTGCTGGCCTAAGGGCCCTGAGAGGCTCAGAGACCCAGGAACAGGATCAGTATGTGTCCCAGGCATTCACTGTCTCCCAGGTTGTCTCAGCTGGCTGCGGGGGCCATGACGACCCAATGCAGGCTGCAGGATCCACCTCACCCTCATGGTGCTTGGATGGAGGGCAGCCTACCCACCTGGAAACTTGTCCCCAGGTCTCTTTGAGACGCTTAATGGCAGGGCTCTGCAGAGCAGAAAGGATGGTGTGGAGGGAAGAGAAGTTTCTGAGGCCTCAGCACCCCTGGGGAAGGGAAGAGATTGAGCTGTGAGGTGGGGCTGGAGCTCTCCAGCTCTGGATTCTGTCCCCTCATGGACTTCTCCTGTCCTGGATGAGACAGATGCCCAGGAAACCCAGGGAGGGCACACCTGGCACCTGACAGGTAACACTGCCAGGCACAAGGATTTTTAGCTGAACACAAGGAAGGAGCACAGGAAGGAAGACAGCTTGCCACAGCCAGGACCTCAAGTCAAGGTCAGTGTGGCCCTGGCAGGAGGGTCTAGGGACAGTGCAGGGACTCGGACCACAGACTTCAATCTCGAGAGCTGAGAAACAAGAGGCAATTCCCATGACTCCAGACAGGGCCTCCATGGGCCTCCCATGACTTACCTTGGCCACCTGAATTCACAGCTCCACCACTCTGGCCCTGTCCTGCACTGTAATGCTTGGGGCCCCGAGGCACGTAGTGATGACACTGTTGACCAAGGTGTTCGTGTGTGCCACAGTGTCACGGATGGTAGGTGCCAGGTATTTGTGGTCCCTGTTGTCTTGCTGGAACCAGATGGAGCCCAGGCAGTGGGCGGGCACCAATTTCTTGAACAGCTCCTGAGGAAGATTCAGAGTGTTGCCAGTACTGCCTCACCCCAGCTCGGCATCCTTGGTCCCCCACAGTCCCAGGTGGGGTGAGGACAGCGTGGGAGCTCAGGAAGCAGAGGGTGTGATCTCTGAGGTGTGTCGGACTCCCTGGGTTTTGTCTGTGTCCACTGAAGGTGCCAGCACAAGATGACCCAGGACACAGTCCTGTGCAGAAGGGAGGACATTTTCCCCCAGCCCCGTCTCATTTCCTCCAAGCTCCAGAATGCAGCCCATGCCGGCTCACCACAAAGGCCATCTTCCACCCATCCCAGTCCCCCTCAGGTCCCACTCCCCATTCCCATGCACATTCCCCCAAGGCAGGGAGAAGCACCGGCTTTGTGTGATTGTCTCCGCTGGAGTCAGTACACATCACGTGCCTGATAAGTGTTGAGGATGTGAAGGCCACCTGGGCACTCGAGTGTTGGACACGAGGACCTGGCAGCACTTCAGTGAGCTCCCTCCCCCACCAAAGGGCCAGACTCTGCCCAACTTCTTCTCTGTTCCACCTCATTCATTGGCACATCCACCCTGTGCAGCAGGTGCCCTTAGTGTCCGGCTCTGCTGTGCACATGGGGACAGCGAGCGCTGGGGGTTAAGAAAGTGCCCAGGTCACAGTGTTGGTAACGGGGGAGCAGGGATGTGGACCCAGATCACTGGAATCCAGATCAGGCAATGGCAGGTCTGGGGCAGCTCGTGGCACAGGAAGGCAGGACCCCCCTGCCCTGCAAGCCCCGCTGCCCACCGCCTACATCCTTGTCAGCTGCTCTGACACCAGCTGGGGAGGGAAATCTAAGAGGTTCGGCTTCTCCTCCCTCAGCTGGTTCTCGGTGGTCACAGACCAGGGTCCAGTGGGATCTAGTTCAGGAGCTGGCACTGGGGTTGAAGTTAATAGTGGCCATTGCTCCAGCCCTGGAGGGTCTGATGCAGGTGATGCTGGCTCCAGCTCTGCCACAGTTGGAGGAGCTGGAGTTGGAGCTGGAGCTGGCTCTAGCCCAGGGGCTGGCGCTGGCTCTGGCTCTGGCTCTGGAAGTGGCAGGAGCTTTGGAGCTGGCTCTGGAGCAGGATAAGGAGAAAGTGTCACCCACACACCTGACAGTTCCCGTGCCTTTCCAAAGACAGGAAAGACTCCACTGCCTTTCAGGAAATTCCAGCCCATGAACCCCAGCACAGTCTTCCCAGACTGCAGTCCCCTCACATTTCTGCTCCTGCTCAATGGCCTTGAGAGGCTTCAGGTGGCCCAGCAGAAGGCAGGCATGGCCCTCCGGGTCTGAGCCACCAAAGCTGATGTGATGAGTGGCCAACCTCACCATCCAACAGGGGAATTGCAGGGCTCCCTGAAATCCTGCCCTTGGTCCAGCCAGCTTCCCAGCATCAGATAGATAGCACTGTGGGAGACAGATAGACCATAGAGTCAGAGGCCCAGCCTTTCCTTAAACACTGCCCTCCCAAGGCACCTTGGTTAACATCTGGGCCCCTGTGCCAGCCCATTCTCTCCAGAAGAGAGACCCACCCCAGCTCTGATCCCTGGCTGGCTGTTCTGGCAGTGGCAGGACTGCTCATCTGGCAGGTTGAACACACAGTCTGTGGGGTCGCTTGTTCCCACTGACACTCTTCTCCCAAAGGGTCTGGACACAGCCCAGCCCACCCAGCCCTCCATGCACGTGGGCAGCTGGACTGAGGATGGAGGCCGAATTTGATCAGCTTGCTCAGGCACCTCCTGCTCTGGACCTGGTGGTGGTGGCCACAAGGAGTGGATGTGGAGAAAGGGAGCCAGAAGGAGCTGGGAGTCTGGTGGGGATGGATCTCTGGGGAACAACTCAGCCCAGCCTCCATTCTGGTTCTGAGGGCCCTGGGACCATCCACAGCTCTCTATGACTCCTGTACTCCTGGAGTGGAAGCCACCAGAACTCAGCCCTCCCATGGGAATCTAAACATGAGTGAGATGCAGGGTTCTGCCAGGCCTGTCACAGCCACAGCCTCCATCCTCTCCCCCTACTCTGTTTTCTAGAGACAGGAGGCCCTCCTTCTGGACCCAAAGATCACTCACTTTTTTTTTCGGATTACTTGTGAATTGATGTTATGATAGTTTACAACATTGTGATGTTTCAGCTGTACACTATTATTTGTCAGTCATCTTATAGGTGCACCCTTCACCCTTTGTGGCCACCTCACTCCCCCTTTACCCCGGTAACCCCTAATCTGTTCTCTTTGTCCATGTGTTTATCTTCCACAACTGAGAGGAACCACACAGTTTGTCTTTTTCTCTCTGGCTTATTTTGCTTAACGTGATACCCTTAAGGTCCATCCATGTTGTTGTCAATGGGACGATTTTGTCATTTTTTACAGCTGGGTAATATTCCATCAGACCACTCACTTTTTTCATTGGTCCTGTGGACAATCATCCCACTCACACAGGGAGAAGGTGCTTCTGGAAGTCCCATAGGGTATGAGGGCATCACACGGGATGGATGGTGGACGGGACCTGCGACCAAGGCCAAATGTGACTGTCTGACACTCAGACTAGACTTGAAGCCCAGGGAGGGTGTCTCCTTCATTCAGTTGAGTTACACTCAGTGTCTCCAGATGTCATGCCAGAGTAGCTGCTTTATATACCTTGTTGAATGAACTCCATCCAGAACCATCCTTGATATATGAGTTGTCCTGGCACCACTCCATTTCCCCAGAGATCTGTAAATGGCTACACCAAGGACAAGCAGCAAGGCCAGCAGGATGGAATCTCAAACTCCTTGACAGGGTACTCTGCATGTGCTTTTCCAAACTCAGAAAGGCCACAAGCCAGTGATGGCACAGGAAGACTACTTTTCATGGGACACAGAGAAATAATCACCAACAACAACCCCAGCGTGGCCCACAGCCCTCTCAGAGTCAGGCAGCAGGGAAGCACCTGGATGGCTGATCCCATTCATCCCTGGGAGAACCCTAGCAAGTTCCTCCTCCCCCACCCCACTGTCCACAGGAGCCAACTGAAGCTCAGAGTGATGTGATGACATTCCCAAGACACCCAGCTGACAGTGGGCAGAGTCACCACTGTGCTGAGGAGGAGGCGGGCAGTCACCTGGGAAACAGCTGGTCCAGGACCCGGTGGGATGCGCTGAAGACCAAGTAGTGGCTCATGGATGTGGTACCACTGCAGATGACTCTACCTGGGAAGGCTGGTACCAGGGAGTCTGACAGGTGCTCCATCCTGCCTGCCTGGAGGGCACGCATCCTGAAGGCCTAGGTTAGACAGAAACTGGCCTCATCTAAACGCTGGGTGGGATGAGGAGGGACATAGAGTCAGTGGCATCACCGTGAACCAACCAGGAGGCTCGAGGTCTGCAGCTCACCCAGGAACTCCTAGCCCCTGCCAGACGTGTGCCACAGGAGAGACAGGGGCTCCCACACTCAGCAAGACTCTGGGCTTTCAAAGTACAATCTGACTTTGGGCGGGTGAAGGATTCAACATTGACCTCCCTCAAGGCCATTTGCTCTCTGAGGAACAACAGACCTTCCTCTGTGAAGAGCACCAGCCCAGTGAATCCTCAACAGACACACCTCTCCAGAGAGGAGAACAGAGGCTTAGGCATGCCAAGTGGCTTCTCTAGGTCCTGTGGATCAGAAGTGAGTACTGCCCCAAGTCAGGGCAGAGAGACATTCCCTCTATACTGCCTGAGGCTTCATTGGACCCTGACCTGGAGGGAAATGTTATGTGGCCACCTCACGCCTCCCCAGTCTGGAAACAGTGTACAGGGCAGTGACACGCTCTGAGAATCCCTTTGAATTCGAAAACATGCTGATGGTTATTTCTTTCACATCAAAGGGAGTTTGGAGACCCTCCTTATCGAGGTTCCATGTTCCAAAAAAGGCAAAATTCAAAGATACTCATGGGCTAGTGGGAAGTGACAACGACATCAACGTTTTCTCTAATCTTTCTAGGAAGATGCCAAGGGAGACTTCCTACCCTCCTATGCAGCTGGTGGAGAGGAGCGGAAGTGCAGATTCCTTTGGGAATGAGACTGTGGGACACAGGTGGGACAACCCTGTTAGGGTCCCAGGAGAACGGCAGTTTGAGTTTGGATTCTGGGCCAGCCCTGGTCATCTCAGGGGCCTGGGTGGGAAGAACCCTCCGTGCCCACTCTCACCTCAGAGCAGCCCTGGTTATTGATGGTGGCGCTGTGCAGTTGCCCCCTGTCCAGGGAAATGGAGTACCCGAAGCCATTTGCCAGCTCTTCGACCACCTCCTGCATGCAGCTCTGCAAAGACAGTGCCTGAGAGCCAGGCCGGGAGGTCTGAGGGGCCTGCCTCTACTTGGCCACAGGAGGAAACCCCGGCACAGATCAGGTACCCAGCAGCATCTGCATAGACCTCAAGCCAGGGAGGGAATGAGATAACACCCGGAGGGCTCGGGACTAACCTATGGGTAGAGGAGATTGGTCCCCAGCACCCACTCTGCCATCCAGCTAGCCACCACCTAGGCTGGGAACATGACACACTGCCAGGCTTCCAACGCCGGGCAAACGTCTCCTGCTGAGGATGGGTCCCTGCCGCTCAGCCCCGCAGTCCCTCACTCCACTCCCCGCCAGACACACAAGGAGGCTCAAAGGGGTTTGGGGATGGCATCCATTTGTGGGCTAACCCGGTTGGCCTGCCCTGTGTTACCTGAGGGCTCCTCCTGACAAATGGCCAGAGGCGGTGCAGGTGAGGGACAAGCCAGTGTCTATAGTGACTGAAAAGGCTCTTTTTCTTGGCTTTCCTGAAGCCAGAGCCTCGACAAGTCGGGAGACAACAGGAGAACATGCTGTTCTCTTGAATGTCTCCACTCAAGTGAGCTCAATAGGAGGCTATGTGTAGAATGTGGGCGCCTGGAGACCAGTGTGCTAAGTTCTGTTAGGGTCTGTCTCCAAGGAAGTGAGGTCACTTCCTCAAGGCTCCCTTACCTGGGCCCCTCCCTTCAATCACACTCACCCAAAACCCCTCTAGGCTCTTGGCTGCTCACCCTCCTTGTCCATGTCATCTCCATAACTGCACACAATTACCCATGACAGAGCTCCACACAGGACCTTGACAATGAAACCAGGGTTCCAGCTGGAGGACAAGCAGCTGAGTTCCGCCATGTTTTTTCCTACAAGCTCTGTGTCCTGGAAACGCCATTGTGCTTCCCAGGGCCTCCTTAATCGTCCAACCTGCACGATGGGGACGATGCCAGAAATATCTCCCTCGGGACGTCCTCAGGTGTAGAAGAGATAATAACAACACCACCTGTGGTCCGGTTTCCATGTGTCTGATGCACACACTTAGAGATGAAAGAATGACAAGTAGGGGTGGGATGTCATGTGGAGTACCTCTCAAAACAGGCCTGGGTTCTGGCTCTGTGACCTTGAGAAAGTCCCTGCCCCTCTGGGCCTCATTTCCAGGTCTGCACCTTTAAGAGGTGGAAATTAGGGGCAATTCAGATATTTCCATTCACTGGCATGAAACCTTGCACGGTCTCCTGTTTGACTTAGAATCAGACCCAAGTGCCTCGTGTCGGCCTATGTGGTGGGCAGCCTCCACCATGGCTCCCAATCCTCACTGTCTTCTGCTCTGCACATCCTTGTGGAACGACACAGTGGTCAGGAACTGGCTTCTGAACAGAATGCAGCCAAGGTGATGGGAAGGCACGCAACCAAGGGTTAAGAACAAAAAGCCTGGCCCTTCCTTCTTACTCATTATCTCCAGCCCCCTCCCTCTTTCCCTCCTTCTGTTCCAATCTCTCTCTCTCACTCTGTGTCTTATATCTCTGGAACTGGGGGAGCAAGTGCAAATGTTTTCAGTCACCCTTTGTAGAGGCTCCATAGGAGAGAATGAGGGAGTGATCGGTCAACAGACAGGCAGGAACTCAGACTTCCAGTCCAAACAAACCCTGTCAACACGCATGTGAGTGAACTTGGGAGCAAACCCTCCCCAAGTCGAGCTGCAATAGAGACGCAGCCCAAGCTTCAAGGAGACCTTGAGGCAGAGGCACCCAGCTAAGCCGTGTCCCTTTCCTGGCACACATGCTTTGTGAGATCTTAAGGAGTTGTACTTTCTAGGGGCAATGTCTTAGAGGAATGTCATCATAGAGCAACAGAAAAAGCAGTCTGCCAGTTCCTGCCACCCGGCCCTGCCATGCCCCCATTTGCCCTCCTCTCTCTTCTCAGGCTCCTTCCAGCCACACTGCCACCTCTCTGACCTTGTCTGGTCAGACCCACTTCTTCCTGTGAGCGTCTGCACCAGCGATGCCTTCTCCCTGACACTCAAACTCTTCCCAGACACAGGCAGGCATGCCTCTCATCTGTCACTCTGCTCACTGCAAATGTCACCACCGTGAGGCCTTTCAGAGCCTCCCAGGCACAGTCTCCACTGTCACAGATATCCCACCCGGAAGGGCATCTCATGGTTTCCTCCTTCTTGGTGTCATTTGGATAAAGTGAGTCCATGAAGGAGGGCTTTCTGCTTGGTGGATGCAGAGGCAGATTCTTCCAGTGACCTCAGGAACATGGCTGTCTCTTCTGGGCTGAATGTTTCCCCTCCCAAGTCCATTGTGAAAGGAAACCACCATTTCTCATCTTTCCTGGGTCTGGTTTCCCCCAAGAACACAGGGAGCCATCCCTTCTCCCTGGAATGCGGCACCAGCCCCTACACCCACAGCCAGAAAATTAGCACCCAGCTTCAAACACCACCAGATCCTGAAGTCAGTTCCTGCTGAGGACTCCCATCCATTTTGTAATTTCATGGTAACTGCTGAGGTCATGTTTCCCCTCAGACCCAGCTCCCAGCCTTCCCTTGGCTTCTTAGAGGAACAGCGATTTCCCAGAAGCACTCCCAGCCTGGGCAAGAAAGGTTCTGAATGTTCTCTATGTATTTTCCAGGACATGGGATATTGGTAGAAGTCATTTTGGTGTGTATGTGCAATAGTTTTGATGCAAATAGCATCTTTTACAGAGAGAGATCCAAGAGTGGGGCTACTGGGTGTAACAAGAAAATGGATATCTGAGCCAACGTCTTCATGGTGTGAAGTCTTTGAGAGCAAAGAACATGGTTAAGAGCAGAGAATATGGAGACATCTTATGTTCAAATTTCAGCTCAATCACTTCCTAGATATTGGTAGAGGGCAAGGTACTTACTTCATTGTTGCCTCAGTTTCTTCACCTGGTGTTGGCAAGAATGATAAGCATACCTAATTTGTAAGGACATGGCGAGTATTAAAGGAGTTAATGTTTGAAAAATGCTTGCAACCCCTAGCACATTACAACCACTGTACCTATCCATTATAAATTAAATGTAAACGTTATTCTGACGCTATCTGTTTGCTTCAGAGGAGAGACTAGTGCCTGGATGGATATAGACAGCACTCTCTGAGACAGGATGAATCAAGGAATGAACAACACTGTTGAATGCAGTACCAATGGCACATCCGCCTCCCTACGGACATTCCCAAGCAGAATCACACCAAAGCATCCCTCCTCTGTCCTGCATCGGCTTCTTGGATTCTATGCAGGAATCACAGGGGCTTCTTGATCCCTGGAACCCACACCCACCACAGGTTTTCTTCTCCCTCGCAGCAAGCCGCAGTTCTTGTCCTAATGGTTGCATCCCACGGGCTCTGCACTCTGATCCTTTACTTCATTTGATGGAGAAGTGTCATTCTCAGAACTGGGCACACACAGTGTGAGCCTTGGAGGAAGTGTTTCACTGGCCGGTGGCAGGTGGAAGAGTGCCGTGATGGAGTGGGATTTATGGAGAGTCCTCCAGGTGTTGTCAGAAGGGGCCCAGCCAGGGGATTTCTCAACAAGGACTGGTCTGGTTGTTGGACCTCGTGTCGAATGAGTGGCGGGGGTAGGGACAGCATGTTTCAGAGGTCCTGGCATAAGACAATCCGTAGGGTGGTCATGAAGTCGGAATCAGCCTAATGAGGTCCAACTTAATCCAATGTCATCTGTTCCCTGACTTGCTCACTAATCCAGAAGTGATTTAGAATAATGATATTCGTCTTCTATCATATTTTCATTGATGGGCTAGAGTTATTATTCATTACATAACGTATATTTTTACATAGGAAAGGAAACGTGTGTTCTGTAACAGCCCTTCTTGTCAAATTCTCCATAACATATTGAATGACTAACAGAATCCAGCTCTGGGAACCTTACAAAAGATCCTGACCCTTACTCTCTGGTTTAGATCTTCCTGAATGGTAAATTCTCTTGACTTCTGGCTTCTTTCCTGAGGTTAGTCCACTCAGGTCAACATAGGAGTGCAACCTCTTGCCACTTGAGAAGTAGTGGTTAAACTCTATGATGTTGTTGGTTTTGTTTCATAAGTGTGTGTGTATGTGTGTGTGTATGTGTGTGTGTGTATGTGTGTATGAGACTGTTTTCTGTATCTTGTCAGATTGACTCCTTTCCTTGGGAAAAATTGTCCCTAACCATCTTCTCTGGGCTTTTTCTCATGGCTTGACCAGTGCTGTCCAACAGTAGAATTTCACAATCTATCTTATGGAATTTAAATTTTTTTAGTAGCCACATTTAAAGAAGTAAAAATATACAAGTGAATCTAATTTTAATATTTATATTTAAACCCATTATAACCAAGATAGTATCATTTTCCAATGCAATCTGTATAAAAATTAATAGTAAGATAGTTTACTTTCTTTTTTTTGTTGAGATTTACAAATCCGTTTACAGCACAGTCTCCATTTGTAAGTTGAAATTTTTTACATATGCAGTTTCTGTGTCCCTCAACCAGAACCTGGTGTGATTTATTACAGAGGAAATAAAATAGAACAGGTATAAGTTATGATCACTCTGAATCCAAGCTTAGCATGAACACTTCACCACTGAGAAAAAGGCTGTCCCTGACCAGGGAGTAGAGGTCCTTCTGGGTGACACGGTGGATCAGCTGGTTCAGCTCCCAGGGATGTTGCTGTCTGTCACAGGGGGTCTCTGTCACACTCTCTGTCATGAGCTATTGGGTCAGGATGGTAGGTGCAGACAGCTTCCAAGCTATTGGCTGCCCCATCCTTTGGACGCCCAGGGAAAGAGTTATGTGGGGACTCTAGAGAGATGTCCTGAATCTCTGAGAATGAGGGCCAGAGGGCCAGAGGAGCCAATTGAGTGGGAAGAGTGAAAAATGGAGTGTTCACAGAAATTCGTCATGACTGGCAAATGCTATGCAAAGTGTCTTACCTGAGGGAGATCAGTCTGTAACCTAAGTACAAGGGGCCCAGGTACTCCTCTTGAACAAGGATCAAAGCTGGGGAGGAGGGAGGAGGAGGATGAGCAGGAGGGAGAGGGGGTAGGGAGGGGCTGACTGAGACTCATTCTACCAGGAGCTGCTGGGACCAGGCTCTCATCAGGTTCTGCAGAATTCTCTCAGTGTTGTAGAACGTGGCTGAGCCCTTGCTCATGTCTGTTGAACATTGGAGGTAGGACATGGTGAAGTTGAGTGTGAGGGCCTTCAGGTTGTGCTCCGTAGCTGCAAGAAGAGAGGGGGAGAGATGGCCATCACTGAGAGCTGGCCTGAGACCAGATCAAAGTCGTGAACTCACTATCATCTGTTGTCATCTCCCCCAGTGGAACCACCACCCACCGATGTGCTCATCCAAGTTGAAACCAGTGCATCTCTCAGCTCCTCCTCCCTCCCCTCCCAGTAACACCAATTCCACTTGCAGATTGCTCCTCAATACATTCCTTCTCTTCATCCATGACCCAGGTAGGTCTTACCTTTTCTCACTGGAACCAACACCCTAACATGCTCACTGGATGCCCCGTCTAAAGGATGTTCTCTGCATTGAACATTAGAAGCATTTCTCTGAAGTGAAAATCTCACTGAGAACCCGCCTGCTCTACTATCACCCATGATTCTCTAAGGCCTTGAGGGTTAAATACAAGTATCTTGACCCGGGATTCAAGGCCTTTCCAAATCTGGCTCCTACTGACTCTTCAGCCTCTTTGATCTCTTCACTCTGAGTTAGGCTTTGTGCTTCAGGCAAACCAAATTCTTGTCAATTCTCCCATATACTATGCTGTTTGTGCCTACTGGGCCTTTGCTCATGGACTTCCCTCTTCCAGGAATGCTCTCCATACCCTATTTTCCTAGATAACTCCTACTCATTCTTCAGATCCCCAATTGAGCAAAACTTTCCCCAGAAAGCCCTCCCTCTTCCGATGATACAAGTTGCCTCTCCTCAAAACATCCCAACTTGTACTATAATAGTCTGTTTATTTCACAAGACTAGGCACTCTCCAAGGGCCGGCATGAGATTGAATTATTGGTATAATCTTTGTGATCAGAATGATTACCCTAAAACCAGAATTGCACACGTCGGCTTCCCAGCTCCCAAGTAATAATTGGTTGGTGGAGGTGTGGGACTGAAGAGCATCTCTTGGGAAGGAAGGGGGGCCCCATATACTTGTGGTGGCTTCTGGTTTCTCAGGTGATGAGGAAGTAGGCAAGAAATTTATGCCTGGCTCATGAGCTGTGGAAACGACTGTCATCAGGTAGAATAAGAGCCCCCTACAGAGTGAGAGAAGCCCCTCAAGCTCTTCTCTGCCCCAGTCGTAGTTGTCCAAGGACAATAATTCACATGTGAGCCATAAATGTGAGTGATGAAAGGATTGATTGTGAGTAGAAGGATGAGCAAACCTGTGAAGGAGATGAACCCAAGAGAGTGAGTGTGGTTGAAGAAGAAAGAGACTGAAGAAAGAGATACGTGGAGGCACAAACAGAGGGGATACCTGGATGGACAGAGGAAGAGTGGACAAATGGAGCATCAAAGGGAAAGCAGGAAGAATAAAGACAAGGAAGAGAAGTTGGAGAGATGGGAGGAAAGAGGATGGAAGGAGAGAAGAAGGACAAACAGGTGAACACACAGAGGAATGGCTGGACAGATTGATATCTGGACAGATGGTTGGATGGATAAATGGAAGGAAGGAGAGAGGCTGAGAGGATGGAGAACTGGGAAAATAACTTGTCCAAGTTCAGAGGGTGCTTTAAAGACAGGTTAAGGCTGAGATTACAGGAC